GGCAGCCAGGGCACACTGCTGGCTCATGGTCACCCTGTCGTCCACCAGGACGCCCAGGTCCCTCTCCGCAGAGCTGCTCTCCAGCAGGTCCCCCCCAGCCTGTACTGGTGCCTGGGGTTGTTCCTCCCCAGGTGCAGGACCCTGCCCTTGCCCTTGTTGAACCTAAAGAAGGGTGTAAAGACATCGCTGCGGGTGCAGAGCGTGTCCTGCAAGTGCTGAACCCTCCGAGTTGAAACGGAGAAAATAAAAAAGCACAGGTCAATAAGGTACAAGCAGTGTGGCAAAGGGGACTGTCCCCTGTTCTGGAGAATCCAGGGGGATTCCCAAGGTGTAATTCAGTTGCAAGGTCACCTTAAAAGAGGTGACATTAGTAGGGTGTTGTGTCACCCTCCAACGTATCCATAATTTATTACGCATTGCAGGAGTTTGTGAAACAGCAGCTTCAAGTATTTAAAAGCGCAGGAGCGCTGGAATAATCTACCAAACATTTTCATAGCTATAATAATGTTTTAATTTGTTTCCAACGTTAAAAGCAGATGAGGCTGAACCATTTCTTAATTCTCAGGCTATTAACTAAAGCTATAGTAGAAGAATGAATGAAACTTTCTTATAGCTCCTGTATAAACAGATCGGCACATAGAAAATATTTAAATTGTACATCACGTGTGTGCTTAAACACTCATCTACACACGACAGGGGCCTCGACGTGGTGCTTAGGGACACGGTTTAGTGGTGGACCACTAAAGGTTAATGGCTGGGCTTGATCTTAAGGGTCTTTTCCAACCTAAATGACTCTATATAATACTTAGGGATACCTCTACAGCTTAACTTGGATTTAATAAGTGACAGTGTCATCATTTAATTAAATACACTAAGCTAAGCATTACTCTGTGTGGGTCATATTTTGCATCTTCCATTTCTTCCTTAAACCATCAACCAGGTCAGAAGGGTCTGACCCAGGGATTCGGCTACTGCTCGGAGACTTTTCCGCACCGCGCTCTCGAACGGAGACGGAGCCTTACCCTTTCCCAGCAGGCGGTAACAACTCCCCTTTAGCCTTCGCAAGCGGCTTGTGCGGCGAAGGTGTTGGAGAAGCAGAGGGCGAAGACGAGAAGGACCGCGATCTAGAAAGGAAGGACACATCGCTCGGCTCAGTCCCTGGGACCGCAGGCAGCTCTCCCGGCTTTTATAGAATCACAGAAAGTTTTGGGTCGGGAGGGACCCCCAGAGGTCATCTAGTCCAACCCCCCCGCAGCGAGCAGGGACACCGCTAACTAGATCAGGTTGCTCAGAGCCCTGTCCAACCTGGTCTGGAATGTTTCCAGGGATGGGGCCTCCACTACCTCTCTGGGCAACCCGTTCCAGTGTTTCACCACCCTCATTGTAAAGAATTTCTTCCTTATATCCAGCCTAAACCTACCCTGTTTTAGTTTAAAACCATTACCCCTCGTCCTGTCACTGCTGTCTCTACTAAGAAGATTGTCCCCATCTCTCCTATTGGCTCCCTTTAAGTACTGAAAGGCTGCAATGAGGTCTCCCCGCAGCCTTCTCTTCTCCAGGCTGAAGAAGCCCAACTCTCCCACCCTGTCCTCATAGGAGAGGCGCTCCAGCCCTCGGATCATTTTTGTTGCCCTCCTTTGGACCAACAGTTCCATGTCCTTCTTGTGCTGAGGGCTCCAGAGCTGAACGTGGTACTCCAGGTACTTTTGGTGCACCTAGCCACCACTCCCCTCCTTCAGCCAGCAACCGCATCCCGGGAACCAGCCCCCGTGGGTCTGAGCTTATCCTGGTTTTACATTCGGACTCTGTTCAACAAAACTAACTTCTGTCACCAGACCAGTGGTAAAAGTAGAAAACAAAAGGAAAAAAATAGGGTTGGCTGCAACAGAGGGGCTCTCGGGTATTCCACACCAACACGGGAGGCTGTCTCCACGCTCTCTGCATTCTCTCCTTAGGGAGAATACATCTACAGGAAAGTACGTGGGATTTTGACTTGCAAGTTCAGCATGATTTGTTTCAACCTGCTTTATGCTCCTGTAACTCCTAGTGCAGTTTATCCTTTAAAAAAAAAAACAAAACCCCTCATGAGAAAGCCACAAACCCCACATCTAACTGCACATCTGTAATTTCTGGAACTCAAGGAGAAAAATCAAGCGGAGTGTATCAAAGCCAACAGATCAAAGGGCAAGAGCTGCTTCCTAAGATCACGACTGACCAAAGAGGCAAGGCACTTGGACAGCACAGCAGATGCTGGCGTTGAAGTGATTCACCCCACCGCCAAGACGGGGAATGCCCTTCTTGCAGCTCAGTACTTCAGAGAGCCGGACTCCTCGGTTCCTCGCTTTCTGAAGAACAGTTAGGCACCTGGGCGTTCCTCACGCTCCTGCCTCCAGAGAGGCATGCTAATTAAAGCGTGTCACCCATGGCTGGCATCGTCCTGCGAGGAACACAGCCTGACATGGGGTGGATGGGGGAAGGTCAGCCTGCTCCTCGGAAACACGCATGCGCTTCCGTTGAGATCTGAGCCCTTCCTAGGGAAACCACCTCTCCAGAAGTGACACCGTGCACTCCTATCAGCTGCGTCATCCACTGTGGGTATCTGCGTGACTTCAGCTCTGAAGAGGTGCCTATCTAGGGAGCCAGTTCTCCTACTATGCATATTCCAGACTTGGGAAACTGTCTGCAGGGGCAAGGAAGTGGCAGAGTAATAAACATGCCTGTTTAATCAGCATGGGACACCGAATTGCTACTTTGAAGTGTCAGCACTATCACAAGACACAACTGCATGGACCACTTTAATGAAGAACTGTGATTTGCCTCTTTAAAGAGAAATTCCAGCGCTACAGAAGAAAGATGCCAGTAACTTCTTCCAGTCACAAAATGCAAATGATGGAAACCTTCATCTCAGCCAGGCTGCTACAACCCCTCAGCGACCACAGGCATGGGAAACAGCCCAGCCACAACAGCACGGTGGGTGGGTGGGGGCTCTGGGGAGGGGAGGCGGTTTGAATCCTTTATTTCAAGAGTTGGCTATTTCCTTTCGAGTAGCAGCATAAGTAGCTGTTAGCAAGCGTTTGGGAAACAGTATGCCATGACTTTCAAATCCAAGGAGCCCTTACCTGGACCTGCTGCCTGAGAAAGAACTGTGTCTTGAAGAGCGACTGGAGTAAGAGCTGTAGGAAGATGATCTGGAACGAGATCGCGAGGAACCTGAACCAGAATAGGAGGATGAACGAGAAGAGGACCTGAAAGAAAAATAATAAAATTCAGCGCCTTTGGAGAAGTCCTCTGAGACCAAGATCTTTTCAATATACTCTTCCCAAGCTCAAAAAATTATCTGCCTTCTGTTCCATGGCCTATCAGGACTATATCTCCTCCTCAGACCCCACCCCCTCCAGTACCACCTTTTCTTTTGGAGAAGATCCTGTTGTCGCTACCCCTTTTGCAGCCTTGCACAGGCCTCCCCTCCTTTAGCTACTCGACTTCCTATTCCTTTCTGAGAACTCCTTCCACACAATTTTACGCCCTTTCACCAGACAATCCCCCGACAGGCTGGGTCACGCAGGTATGAGAAAACAGAAAAATCTCAGGTGCAGTGATCCCAGCAAGAAAAGCTATCTGCTTCAGGAGGACTTTGGTGTTTAGATCTATATCTTCAATTCAGTGTGTTCCTCATTCCTCTCCGATACCGTTCCCCCCTCTTTCCAGGAGCTTCAAGTTCAAGCATTTAAACAAAATGGATCCAGTTTATACCTCAACTCTCCTGGATTCAGGGCGCTTCTTTCTGAAAGGTGGTTTTTCTCTCACACGAGCTGGTTTCAGAGCTCCACTGCAGCCCTCTAAGGCTCTGTCAAACCTCCACAATCCCAGTTTTTCCCCAGTAGCATCAGCCTGCTCTTCCTGGAGTGGGCTCACCTCATCCCTCCAGCACTCCTGGAGTGAAGAGGCTCTGATTTTTATAGTTTCCAGCTCTTTCTGCTCATACTAAGGTCGGTTTTCATCTAGGTGAGCTACTAATCATCTGGACTGCTTCCAGGTCTAATTTCTCCATAGAATGATTTTTCTAAGGACCTGTCTCTTCTTAATCTTCAACAGACTACATCACAGCATCCACAGTTACGTGCTCCCTTCAGCTTCCACCTCACCACCTCTACGCCTGGTGTCCATAGCTGTTACCGAGCAGCAAGCCTTGAACTGCTTTCCCGAACATCTCCACACCTTCTGCTGACCAGGAAGAGCCACGCCGCACTCCCCGACACACTAACCAGGCTCAGGGCGCGCCACGCTCTTTGCCTTCGCTCACCTCGAAGAGCCAGAAGCGGACGCTGAAGAAGCAGAGGTTTTTCGGCGCCTGCGCGCACGGCTGAGGGACACAGAGACACCGAGTTTCTTTTTGGGCGACTTGGACCGGCGCCAAGGGTCCTTCCATTCATCCGCTCTCTTCGACTGAGTGGTGGTAATGGTGGTTGCCTCCTTCTCCTTCTTTGGTGGCTCAGGCTGACGGCTGGAGGACAGAGGAGTTGTGTAGTTAGGAGTCTTTTATACAGCAAGGCTAACAGAAAGAGGGCCAGGAAAAGATCTCAGAAATTCATGCTTCATACCAGTACTAGCTCTCAGCCTCCACCGCAGGATACTCAGCACCTTTTTGGGGTAACAAAGTGTCAGAACAGGTATCATTTTCTAAACCAGTGACTGCAAGCCCTTCAGAGCAGCAGTGCCTGCAAGTTTTGGGAACTGCTTTGTCACATGGACCAAGCAGTGACCTGCTAGCCCATTTCAGCCTCAGCTTTTGGCCTCCAAGGATTGGAAACCAGCACGGGCAAGAGGGAAGGGAAAGGCAAAGCTGGTTCTTCCTATGCCTCTGCCAAGCAGCCAGAGCTGGAGCAACCCAAGCTGAGTAGGCAGCCCCCAGTGCAACCAATATGCTCAACAGAGCTAGAATAAGCACTGACTTTGAGCCTGCATCTCAAACGCCGTCTCAACAGCAAACTGCTGGGAACAACCAGCAGGCACTAAGAGAAGAGACTCGGCCTGAATTACTCTGCTACAGCTCCCTTATCAGGACACCACGTGGGACTGCATCACCAGCCTTCCCACAGCCAAGACACACCGATCTGCTTCCACCCTCACGAAGGGGCCGGTGACCTCATCAGCTGAGCGTAAAGCAGTTCGTAACGGCTGTTTTATCACCACAGTATTCTCGAGGTGTTTATAAACACCACCGCACGCGTGCTCTCCCGTTGGTCATAACCATGAAGATGTGACAAGTCAGGCTAGATACCCTCCATCACCTCGCTTCTCCTTTCAGGGCTCTACATGCATTTCCCCTTTTTCTTGGCTTCGCTGGGCTTCCCCTCTACAACCCTCTGAAAATAGTTCAGGGCTAACTTATCGGCACCTGCCCCGGATAGTTCCTTAACTACTCCAGGATGAGTTTCTTCTGGCCCAGACTTTATTACCTCTCCTATCTAGGGGTGATTTAACCTGGGATTTTCCCTTGCCCTTACTGTAACCTGCACATGACTGCTCAATTACCCACTTATAACCTTCTCCCTCAGGTTTGAGTTTGCGCTTGTTTGAAAGTTCACAAAGCCTGTTGCCCTCGTCAAATCACCAGTACAACGGCGCGTTTGCTCCTTTGCTCAAAATAAGGAACCCTCTCGCTCTGAGAATTTGGGGGAGGAACGGCACCTTCCATCTCTGGCTTCAGCCGGTACCACCCCATTAGTCACACGACTGAAGCAACCACTCCCCACGCGACTTCCTCTACCTTTTGAGATAAAAAAGGCAACCTCCAAGTTTTCTAATAATTCTACAGACTGCGTTTCTCGCCACAACACCTATTCAACAGGCAACTGGATAATTAAAGCTCTTCGTTAGCAGCCTTTTTGTCCTTTGAAGGCTTCACTAGTCACTAAGAAGTCTGGTCTCCTCCTTGCTTGGCAGTATTCAAAGAGTCTCAGCACAGTCAGAACTCCTACAGCCTCCCACCTCTTCCTCGACTCCAGAACTTGTATACGCTGTCTGTAAAGTCCAGTGCAGTACCCCACGCTTTCCCTATGTTTCCCGATGTAACTACAGCAATTTTACAATTTATCCCACGTCTGTCTCAGTATATACAGAGTTTTACAGGAGGAGAAACTCTTCTTTCACGCTCGCCTCTCCCACAAATCTCATTCCAGCCTCAGAAGAGGACGCTTACGTATTAGCACAGAAAACTGCTGACCGCTCAGTGAGAGAGTCCCAAGCAGGGTTATGGCTCAGCATTATTCACCAGCATCTTCACTCAGCATCGTCACCCGTTCCAGTTCTGCTCTAACACACGCTATTTAACTCAGCACATGTTATTTGTGGCGGGCTGGTCTAGTCTGCCATATTAGCAAAACTATATCTGAGTATTCAATCATGGAGGAAGACCATGACTCTGAATATGGGGTCGAGATACACTGGAGCTATTATTTATACTCTGCTAACACCAAATATTCATAGCCTGGGTCAAGCTCGGGTTCCAGCAGATGTAGTACAAACTCATTTTAAAGCCATCTTGACCTCCGGAGTATCTTCCAAGCAATTAAGTGCAAAGCAGGAAGAAAAAGCAGGTAGGGAACAGCCTACACGCCCTTGCATCCAGCAGCAGACAGGAGGAGGACACCCCGCGAGGATGCTCGTGAATAATGCCAGGTTATGTCCTCCTCTGACGTCCCTTCCCAAGGGACCGCAGTCTGCACGCTTGGGAGACGCAGGGGGAATATTCTCCCGGTGCAGGCGGGCAGAGAGGTGGCATCAATCTCCAGACCTGGACAGAGCCTGCTGAGCAGCCTTCTGTGCAGTGTCCAAGGTGACCAACGTGAAAGCCAACAACTAATGAACGGCCTTGCCACTCTCCAGGCTCAACTCTCTCCTGCAACAGTTTTCAGAAAGGAAAATCTCCTATGGAATTCACTCTCCGTGTCTCTCCCAAAAAAACAACTTGCCCACGTTCACGTCCAACAGCTGCACATCCGAGGAGCCAAACCTCAGCTCCGACCCAACGTGGGAACACCTGACGCTGAACTCCACAACCTGGGCACGAGCTTGGAGCAGAGACGATGATGAAAGCAAATCTCATTACTTGCACCTATTACCTGGTTTGATGCAATTCTCTCTCGATGAAGTCACTTTCTGGAGGAAAGGTTTTTTCTCCCCAGGAAAACCACAACAGAAAGCCTCATTTCTGGATATGCTTCGGCTTTCTGACTCAGCCGTAAAGACGTTACCATACTATAGCCAAGAAAGAAAGATGACGCTCGTGTCAGGACATTTTCAAAGTCTTTCCTCAAGAGTTACCTGCGTGCCCAACATGTAGCATCACCAAATAAACTTGTTCAACTTAAAGCAAGGCACTGGTATCTGATGCCACTTGGCTCGCCTCTTCCCTCTCCGTGGAATTCAGGAGTCAGAATGGAAAGTAAGCTGGAGCCACTGCCAAGATCCTCACCATCCACCTTAGGCTAGCATCTCAGCTCCAGCCCCTACGAGTTCCACCAAAGAGACTAGCAGAGGCTAGCAGCCCACGAAACCGTCGGCGCTTCGCTTAAATTTACTCCCACCTACCGCTACCGTGCAGCTGCTGGGAGGAAAGGAGAGGAAGCAATAAGGCTCGCGGTGGAAAGCCTGCTGAGAAGAGGCAGCCTGTGGCTCCCAGCCCAGATCAGGCAGGAAGGCTGCCCAGAGCTACGCCGAATACGATGGCTGCTCCCGGCACTGCGCTGCTGGGGGGGGGTTGAGCGATGTCTTTGACCCTGAGAAGGGGGAGGCTTTCTCCTCACTTTCAACTCTCACAACCAGGTAATTTTCACTTCCCGTCTTGTGCTGGATCTGGCGCTCGCTGGAGGTCTCCACGGGCCAAGTCAACTCCTTCAGTCAACAGGGAGAGGTGGGGGGAAGTGGTTTGCTGCTGGGTCAGCGACTCCAGCCAGCCCGTGGCAGGGTTTGAACCGCAGGAGCTGACCCTCGGTGAGCAGAGGAGGGAAGGGCAGAAGCAGCTTGGCTGCTCTGAGGCGGCTGAGCCGTGAGATCAGCTCAGAGCCCTTCATGCGAGTTCATCCTCAGCCAGGCACAGCTACCCAGACTGGTGCAATCCATGCTGCCGGCAAACCTAACGCGCTTCGGCACAGAGAGCGGCTGGCAAAGAGTCATATGCTACCAAAGCACACGTCTTTTTCACCAAATTCCAACTGGTGGAATCTTTTTTGCTTGTCTTTTCCACCAGATTCCAATTTTTAGGAAACATTTCAAATATTTGAGAATTAACTCCCTAATCAGGTAAGCCTATGCCACAGGGTTTTGTTTTTAAAAAATAAAATTACAGAGGCAATAAGAGCCCGACAAAGACAGACTGATCAAAAGCAGCTTAATTTCCTTCCAGAGCCTCTGGCAGCAGCATCCTGCGTCACCAGGGCATGAGCAAGGTCTGTAGAGCTCAGCTACTTCCGAAGCCCATTTTAACCTTAAAATATCTAAAGGCTTTATTTTCCAGAACGAACACGTTAATGCATATTTGGCTGGAATTTAATTACAGCAATCAAGCGGAGAACTGAAGCTGAACGTGGCTTTGGCAATGAGAGGAGGAACAAAGGCAGCTCCAGCTGGCAACACAGACCACAGCGTAGGTCAGCCAGCTCCCAACCGCACGCGCTCCGGCTCCCGAATAAACCCGGCTCGAAGCACGTCACTGAATTCGACAAGAATTTGGAGGGGGAAAAGCTCAAGTTTTCCTCCTCGTGTATTATGCAAATGACACCAAAGCTTTTCTAATCTTAGAGGGGAAAACAAGCTTGCCGGGGGAAGTTCTTCCTTCCTTCCCCCTCCTCGTGGGACATGGCTCCCACAGGTAACGCAAACCTTATCGCCCACGGTCACCGGTGACGTCAGCCTGGCTCCAGGGCTCCTGCTTTGGCTGGCAGTTACAGCTCAATTTTCTGAAAGAGGAAAGTCCACCGGTGATTTAAAAGCCTTTTCGTTTGTTGCAGGAAAGCAAGCGTTGCGTCAGCAGCCCCGGCGCGAGTTTTCCTTCGGTGTCAGTGGAATTTTCCAGAGGAAGCGGGCTCGAGGAATGACCGGGGAGCCAGGGGCCACGGCAGCTGTGAAGGGACCCGCAACTGCTGCAAAATAAATCCAGTGCGCACGCACGCTGGAAGGATTTTCCCATCTCGGGACAATAAAGTCACCGGTGTGGCTGGGGGGGGACAACAGGTCCCGAAAGCCACCTACGTGCGGCTGTGACGGGAAGTGCTGAACCTTGGAGCCGGTGCTAATTGATCTTGGTGAAATATTAGCAAAGGATATGCTTTTCTCAAGATGTTTCGATCTGAAGCAGTGTTATCAGCTGCTTAAAAAAAAAAAGATTTCTTCAAAGCCTGATGGGGAGAGGCTTTGAAATTAAATAGTGGAGATACAATCTGAACCTACAGTATGAAATCATCAGAGCAGGCAGATAAACATATCTTCGACGTGATCTACCCT